ATCTCAATTTAGATTTTCACAAGACGTCGCAAGTTAACTTTCGGACCGAGAAATACAAGTAAACAACATGAACTTAATTTTTCGAGTTCAAAGAAAACCAAACTCGACATAAGTTAGAGGTCCATGAGTAATATATCGTCTTGATGAGGCAACCGACAGACGTGCATCTGCCTGCGTTTTATGGCCCTTACGTAATGACCGAGCACAGCTCTGCACAGATGGAGCCGACAGTTAAATTTTGTAGGTAATGAAACCTCGTAAACCTCTTAATATATCCATTTAAATTAAATTAACACTATTACAAGAGAAATGTTCACGTCTTGATGTCCGAGATATTAGATAGCGCACGTTTGAATGTATTCTATACTTTCATTACAAGTAGTTTATAAGAACAGGTTATGGGATACGACGGAAAATATGCATTACGTCATCAGGAGATCTAAAAATAAACAAAAGGACAATCAAACAAGTTGCCATTGTTTTTCAAAAAGTACTAAAATGCTACTATTGTAATTAGCATACACAAAGAATTGTCATCAAAATAAGCCGTCGATAACATGCAACAGTACTGCTAATACAATGTAATGATGTATTGAACAAAGCAAGAGCTGCCCACGCGCACCTAACTCATTAGTACAGAGAACAGGCACAACATATATCTCGGTTTAATTATTCAAGCCGGATCAATTACCCACATTATGTTCTAAGACTACGTTTAGTAGTCACATACACAAGTCTATATATACTGCTTGTATGGTGCTTCGGGATGCCGTTCTTAAGCACTTTGATATAAAAAGTAAACATGTTGCAATTAATATCGATTAGTACTAGTTCAGCTACGTGACTTCTATGTTCCGACAAGTCCAATGGGAACAAAGCTATACGTAAGCTTTGTATCACGACTTACAACTTATTGAATTTGTGTAGAAAACAGCCCGAGGGAAATTATATCTTAACATGGTAAATATATGAAGTGGTTTTATCAATTAGGATGACGCTTGCTACTATTAGTTTTGCATTGAAATGTGACTTTTGACGTTCTGACCATAATACGGTATTTTACAACCAATCAATTATAGTCGACAACATCGTATTGGAGACTCGGTTGCCAAAGAAGAACTAATCAATTTCAATACTTTTATCGAAACGTCAAAAACGATATTGTTCTGTAAAGTTTGTACCAAAAACAAACTTATGACGTCATCATATTTTCGAGTCAAATAGCACACTTATTTCTGAAAAATATGCTAGAATAAATCGAAAATTAAGTATATCGTCAAATATCTGAATCAAATTGTAATTATTTTTTAATATTTAATTGGATTGAAATAATTTATTTTTGACCCAGGAAATAGCAAATTTAAATAGCCAATTGTGTGCTTGGTTTTCAATGTACGTTTAAGTCCATGGGGCGGGGGGCGGGTTGTCGAACACAACTTAATTGGTTCAAATATTTGCATTGAACACGTTTAAAATCGTCTCTCAAAATTGTAATAACAATTTTACTTCGTAAAGATCTTTACTTGGTTCATGGTCAAAAATTAAGAAATAGTATTATCCGTGTCTTTGTTTACAAAAAGTTAAATTGCTGTAATTTGATAATGGCAGACTGGTTGTAGTGTAGTCACGTTTCATTTCTGGTTTTAACAACCACAAGGTCTGCGATAACTATATCTTGTCTATGCTCAAACATTCTAGTAATACACAATGACGTGGAGGACCCGACTTGGTACATTTACAAAAATAAACAAAATTAAAACTTGTTCCAAATAACTGGAAATAAAAATTCCATGAACTATGACAAGTATAGAAGTGACCTATGCTTATAGTGGACTTTACATTTATCATTTTTGTTCCGTGACACTAGTACACAAAGCCTGAATAATGTCAAGTTTCCGGTCATGTTCCCGAAGACCACAATAATCTAATTAAAGTACCGTCGCCACACCATGCAGCGAGTGCGCATGCGCACTTTCCCTGGCTCTCATTTGAATACGTCTGCTTATCTCGATCTGCACAATTATGTACGTTTTCTACAGACGATGCGTGAACGAGATAATTACCAATTATATATTGTAATGGATTTTTATTTGCATTCATTGCATTCTTTAAATGGTTCGTGTATTTTTAGTGCTACAGATATTTTGCATAATAGTAATTACGTACGTGGTGTTGTAGGAAGTCATACTTAGGCGCTCGTCAAGAATAAGGGTAGTGTACTATTTTTGTATTGATGGTGTTTAAACACCGTTCATAATTCATAAGGTAGAGGAACTCTGTCAATCTAAAATAAAAGTTTAAATCAAACTTTTTGTTTCATATACCAAAATATATATAACGCTATTATGATTTAGTATTAATTTATTTGGAAACACATACAGAAACGTAATATTATGAAATTGTTACGCGTGTGTATTGTGAGTATGTTTATCAATGTCCCCAAACTGGTTAGTTAGCATTACAGTGTTATAAGGAATAACAGAGAGGAACGAGTTTATGGTGCATGACCTGTCATCCGTCATTACTGGCGCACACACATTTAATGTCGTTTCGTGTTTTTTTTACTTTTCATTTGAATAATGCGAATAAGTACCAAAGTTAATTAAATCCTTTATAGCGTTTTCTACGAGTGATATAGATAATTGTTTCCTGTTGTTTCAGCTGAAATACTTTCATAGCATCACCTATTTACCCTGAAGGGGTAGGCAGGGGTGCATTACGGCACTTAATGCCACTGTACAATGTAACACCTACTTTTCACTATTTATGTGATGAGTCCCATGTAATAGAGGGGAGCCTATTGTCATATACCGGGCACAATCCCAGACTCCGTGCTACTACTGAGATTTCTTTTTAAAAACCCAGTAACAATTGGCACGACTCAGGAATCGAACCCGAGAGCCATTGCCTGGCAGTCGCACTTGCGACCACTCGGCCAACGAGGCAGTCCCATTTCATTGTGGTTCTAAACGTACGACATACACACACATTGATAGAACCGCACACGTTTCTTCTAATTAAGTAACGCGTGTAGATAACAATTAATTTTATCTTCACAACCCACAAAAGCTATTGAAGCAGTGTTTGTATTGTTATTTTGTTCCTCGTTCTAATTATCTAAACAGCCTCACATTCGAGTTGCGATTAGTTTTCTAAATTAGCAACACTTGACACTTAGCTTATCATTCTCTTATCATTGTACAAACTAATATACATGGACATGTATCCATCTCCTAATGTATGTAATCCATTACGCACATCCGTTAGTCAATATTTTTTTATGTATCTATCCTGTTTTTCTTAAATTGTTATAACCTAACCTAAACTTACTTCAAACTTACATTCATTTCAATTAAATTATGTTAGTGCTTCAATATATGAGTTGCAAAATTCCAGGACTTACTTTCCTACTTACGTAAAATTGTAATTGCTTTTAATTTGTAAATATTATTTGCTGATGGCATGGCGCCAACAATTCCCTACCATAACATTGTTAACACGCAATCAGAAGCTCTCATAACAACGTTGATGATTTGTACCAACACTCTTACTGTCCACAAACACTCGGGTAATACTCGAGTAATCGGTTTGTTATCACGACTCTAATAAGAAGGTGCTAAGCATATTTGTATAACTAAGTGTGAGTTTTAGGGCCGGGCTCACACGGCCGCGCCCCATAAACACTTTTAGTTAGAAAAACATTTAATTTTCCGGTTCTGGCAAGCACATAGATTAACGGTTTTGTGTTTTGGAATTTTCATTGGAGAATATAATACCTATGTCTTCCGAAACTGATATTGTGTAATTATCTACAGCTACAATATTATTAAATGATTATAAAAGTGCTGTGTATATAATATGTGTGTGTTTCTAATAGTTATTGCTTCAATATGCTAGTACAAATATGTTCCTTAACAGGTAAATTTTCGCCAAATTAATGTGTGTCAATATTTACAGTTGATAAAGACCGCTATACCATCATACTTTTAAAACAATATGTACATAAACTAGACATCCAACAACACCACATAGAAATCCTATAATATGTATAAACAGCTCACTAAGGCGTCGGTTGGCGGTCGAGAGGTCGTGTGAAATGAAATCCCATCGTCCATATGTAGTCCTCACTCCTTGTTACTAAGAACTGCCTCCTCCTCCTGAGCTTGTTAGAACAAACACGTTGTATCTCGACCGTTGTTTATTGAATAAAATACCAAAGTACAAAGTATGAGTTTTGCATTAATTTAGTCTTAGAAAGTAGTTTTTAATTTAGCTTAATTATCATTAAGAAATAGTGTTAGTACCTATTGTATAATAACTTACTGGGACTGCCTCAATGTTAGACAGATATTGTAATTTTTGAGATAATAAACAATTTGAGTCTACTTAATTAATTTTTTTATTTCCTTTGCAATCAGTCGCCGGATTATGAGCAAATTAGTTGAAAGCCAAATGACGTTAAGCGTGATTACAGACAGGCATTTATCTGCGGACATCCCTCAGGTAGGGAACACACCAGCTCTCTTTAATCTCTTGGCAGGCACAGAAGACACTCATTGGTACGCTAGTGGATTTGAAACTAATTATTTAGCGCCAAATATTACCCTGCATTTGGATTATGTGATAAAAATGGAAATTATTATGAAAAACATTTTTCCGGGTACCTATAACTTCCTGTGTCAATAACACTCCGATGTATAATATATGTATAATAAAAGACTCTGGAAATATTAATGTCGATAGTTCCGACGACCGTTACTCAATTAATATCGAAGAAACTCCTCCGCCGCGTCACTTCGTTAAGGCGGAATATTGGTTTAACTACTTTCGATAATAACATATAACGTGTAACTATTAAAATTAAATAATTTATAGCTTTATTTATAACACACCTCGCACCCAGAACTGTAACCATCAAAATATTTATATTGTTAAGTTTTAAATTATGACAAACAAAAGCCTCTCCAAACACAAATAATAAACAAGATAAAAATACTCACGATTAAAAAAATAAAGAGAAATTCAATCCGTGTTCAGTGCGAGGTAAACACAAACACACACATTGTCACACACAAAACACAAACAATGTATTTGGGCACGAGTTACTGCTTCGAAGTACTACGACACTACGGAACTACGGAGCGTAATCGCGCGGCGATCGACGAGACGTAAGGTACGGCGCACGAACGCGGCACGACTGCTCGCGGGCCTGCGGGTCGCACGGGCCACGGGCATCACGCACCATCAGTCGCAAGTCGCGGGGTGATAGGACCATCTACCGATATTATTGTATTAACACTGGTTAATATATTTGTAAGTTCCTTGTTTTGCTTTCTCGTCCAAACATCCTTTGCATTGTAAGTAAACAGTGCCGAAACTATAATGCAATAAGCTATTGTTACGAAATGTTGATTGTTATTTAAGTTTGCGAGGGCAGTCTGTTCGTTCACAACCTGCACTGGTGTACGACACGTCTAGCTTCATTAACAAAAACGTAAATTGGTATTGTAGGGAAAATATGTATAATGATATAATATGTCAGTGGCTGTCTATGCCTTATTTTAACTAACACACATAGTCCTATCCAAGCTCACAGCCTACTGCGACGTGACCTCGCAGCCCCGTGGAGCCAGTCCGGTTGGGTACGCGTGCACCGCATGTAACTTCGCGCATCGCTCGCCCTTCGCCCTCCTTACCAATGTTTTGCACGTATATTACGTGAAAAACATATTATTTTCCAAGTTTTATTAAAGTACCTCATAGGTCTTTATTATTTTGAAAACTACGGTCATACGTTGATTAACTTGAAGGTTGGAATATTTTTTTTTTATGAATGTGCCTCTAAAACTCTATACATTATGGTTATTCATGTTCCGCTGCAAATTCAGACATAGTAAATCCACTAGCACCTACTAAACAAACTGGAGTTGATCCAGAACTTCGTTGTTAGCAGTCACGCTTGAGACCACAACATAAACGAAGCACGAAAATAAAACAAATAAAAGAGAGATTTTAATCTTTTCAGACTTTTTTGCGATTAGTCAGTCACACACAGCAGCGGAGCAGTAGTCACACATTAGCATTAAACATTATTTCGTTCTAATTTAATATTCAGATTTATTATTCAGTGGCTAGCTGTAAAAAAGCACGGTCTGTTTAAATGTAGAGCACGTTTCAAGCGACTGAAACACGCGCCTTTCGTGGAGTTTTTTACTTGGAGCTACAGTACAGTGCACCACAGGTGTCGTGTTAAAGGAAGTGATTGGACACAATCTAATTAGCGAGCCACGTGCAGACACCTTGTGGAAAAATAAGCCTTAACAACATTGTGACTAATTACATTGATTCTAATTTATACCTCCGTTCTAAAAAAGATCTCTGCCGTTGCTTACCTAAATGGCAACCGAACAATGTAAAAACCTACTCATCCACATTTTTGTCTTTCGTTGGTATCTCAATACACTATCTTTCATTCGAACTAAATTTTTAAGGAAAATCATATTTACCATTGTTTTTAATAATTCTTTGATAATTACTATTAATCATAAACAATACCAGACTTGATGCTACTTAAACTTTTTACAAGATTTAATTATTAGCTATAGATAGCAATCTTTGAATTCTGAACAATCACATTCTTCGCAAACAATAAATGGGCATATCATAAATAAAGTTTGTGAAATTATCACTATACAATACCTATAGGTACCTAAAGATATAATAAGTAACGATTAGTGCTCAAGCCCCGTGAAATTACCCGACAAATCATTGTCGCGGCCCTGACTCATAGTGCTTGATGAATAACCACATTACGTCACAATATTATACTTGACATTTATATAATTTGATACAGCGACCATGGGGGGATACAGAGGGAAACTTATTTCCTAAAATAAGTATTGGAAGCAACAAGGAAATTACATTTCCTCTCATCGGTCTGACCAATTTCCACGTTTAGTGCGGTCTATTTCCCAGCCAGCCTCCTATATTGTATCAACTGAAAGTAAGATTGCCATCTGACCTCGAACTGAGAGTGAATTTAGTAAGGTATGCTACCTAAAATATTGTGTTAGGAATGGCCAAGACCTTATTTATTCGAGGACTACCTCGTAAAAAGTAGTGAAACATGTAAAATCTCACAAGATTCATTTTGTACCTAAGCACTTTATGGTCCTTATCCTTAACAGAGGTAGGTTAATAATAACTAGGTTTTATAGGTAAGTACGAGTACGTAAAACTAATTCTTCTATTACTTGAAGCACTTTAAGTATCTCTAAAACGTTACCGTGAATATAGCCGATGTAGGTATCGTACATGTCTAAGTGCTCATTACCGCAGTCTGTCAGTTTATTGAATTGACACGAAGGTTTCTAAATCCTTTGCATTGTATCTACCTAAGTAATTTAGAGTAGTTTCTAGCATTGTGCCTGCAGCCTGCAGTGGTCGGCACTGATTGGCTCACACTAAATAAGTGGGCTAATGAAGACGTTCGATTATAATTAACTGTTATCGTATCGTATATCGATCCGCCCCGCACAGAACGTTAACTAGTCCATTAGGTAAATTATAGTACTCAAGCTATTCGTTATTGTAAAGTTATGTGTCGACAGAGTCATCTTAGCAGCTTCGTCACTGTCAGTACCTAATTTGGACTTCTTGTTTTACTAAGACCGGCTTATATTATGATAATGCCTGAAGAGCAGTATCTTCCTAGAAGCTTTTCTAGTATCACGCAGTTTGACAAGTGCCCATCCAGCAGTTTTAGTTTAAATCCAAGTAGGTACAGATACTACCAGTGCAGATCAATCTTATGTTTACAATAACTTGCGAGAATAGAAGAAATTACTTTTTACGATATCACATATAAATATTAACGCAGATTCCTACTTAGATGTGGATAATGAATTCTCTAAGTAACACGATATCGTCCGTGACAGCGGCGCGTGAGCATTGCGGCCGCTCGTCACACTCCCATTGCGTACGCGCACCCATTCCATCAGTAAACACACGGCTACTTGGAAATTAGATAGCATTATACTTATTATTATTAGTCATCCTAAGTAACAAAGATAAATTATAGATACGTTTTCTGCGAAGGTACTCCTAAATAATTTAGGCTACTCATTAATCTGCTTAGGAAGTAGGAAACGCCTGGACGAATCATATCGCCATTATTGTAGTTAGCCAGTTAGTTTATGGAGTTCGTTATCCGAATTCCATTAAGGGAGCTGAAATTATTGTATTAATTTTTTTGTATTTTTAATTCAGCGGTAGCGGCACTCCTCTTTGAGGAGTGGCTTGAGAGACGCTGCGGCCTCCTTACCTACCGCCTGACGCAGGTGCTTACCGGACACGGAAGTTTCGGTAGGTTCCTGTTTCGGATTGGGCGGGAGGAAACGCCCAGGTGTCATCATTACCCGGAGGACACGGTGTAGGGTCTGCGGACGGCGAGCACGGGTGACTCGCCGTCCGACCAGACCAGGCCCGAGCGTGGATACGGCGCATCGCGTTCCGCGCGCGCCTCACGGAGCCATCAGACCACCACAGATGGGGCCCAACAGGGCTGATGCCGATACGGAGCCGCGGAAGACTTAACAGGTTACCGGGAGTCGACCGACTCGAAGTGCAGGAGTAGGAACGGGGTGGTTTTTTAGTCAGTAAGAGTCTGACACTCCCTCTCGCCTTATCCGGGCGGGAGAAGTCATTGGTAGATTTTCCTCCTCAAAAAAATAAATAAAAATGTGCATCTTTTGGTTATGAATGTATGAAATACATTTTTGAAACACTTAGATACGGTGTTATGTATGAAGTACCTAGTATGTGACGAAATATATTTTTTATTAATTATTACCTAAACTGTACATTATTTCGAAATAACCATACTTCGATTAATAAAAATTATTAGAATCAGTCGATGTAGCGTTGATCCATAAAAGACAATCAATCGACTTTCCTTCATTCGATCAACGGTCTTTCGAAGTAAAATTAAGAACCCAAAATGACCCATATTTGAAAGTTTTCAGTGAAGGACCGGGACCATACCTGCCTCGTTCTATGTTTATAGGTATGTACTTATACCTATTACGTAGACTCGAAGGTCTTAAAACATTTCCGACACAACTGTATGTAATTGAATCAGTTGTAATAAATGTTAATAGTTGCAAGATGCCGAGAACAGATGCATACTAATCAGTAATCACAGATATCTGCATGATCGATCAACTTTCTCGTTCATTCATATTAACTGCCATTTTTTTTATTTTACTATTTGTTGTAAATTCCTCGTGGGCATGCTTGTGGAAGAAATCTTGAGTGAGAGTGTTGTGTTAACATACCTATATGTTTTATAGGATTGATAGGACACAAAAGAGCGGACAGACGGACGGAGGCCTTAGTACGAGGTTGTTTTACGTTTAAAGTATTAATAAAGACGTAACTTATTTTGAAGGTTTATTCCGCGGTATTTTTTAATTATTAGATACTTATTTATTTATAGAATTATTATCTCTACCTTAATACAGCTTGTTGGGATGTAAGCAGAAATTCCCAAATTATATGTATAACGCATTATAAAGCACGTTCACACTATATAATCTTTAAATGATTAAGTTGCTAATTCTTCATCGGTCCGCTGCGCTTGACGAGTTAAAATCTCAACCAGCACATTTATGAATAAAGAGCACAAGAGTAATGAACTCCTAGAATTGTCTTAACTTATTTGCATAATCGGTATCATAGTATACGAAATATGAGAAAACAATATTAATTTGGAAAGAATATTTAACAAATACTTACATAACTTCACGTCTGTCCCCACGGAGGTAGTCAGTTTTAAAAATAAACTTCAAGATAACGAATACTTATTTTATTTCTCAGTTTTAATTTTCTTATTAGGATCGTATACGTTTTGCATGTCAGAGTCGTCATAGTATCGTCTATGACCGGCACAATTCCTATCTCCGTGTCCCTCGTCATAACAGCCGTCGTGGTTATCTTTTGATGTAACACTATCCGGTCTTTCTTGTTTAATCTGTATCATATCACGTGGTTCCTCCGAGTCTTCGTGTCTATAATCTTGACGACTGCCACCATCTTCATAGTTTCTATGCCTTTGTTTGTCCTTACGTCTGCGATCTTTGTCCTTACGTCGATCATCTCTTTTCTGTCTCCTATCATCATACGATTC